ATTTCATTCAGAAATGTCTTTACTGATACTTATCCTGCAAAGTATACCCTTTACAAAGTTATGAAAACTTTTGCACGCATCCCATAATACATAGCCTGTTAAAGTAAATTATGTCGATGATGAACTACCCCTTCTTAAAAATGCCTCCTTATTTTTGAAGGATTTGTCAGATTTCAGTGTTAACACATTTTCTGTCATTCTTCTTTTGATAAATTAAATTGAAAAAAATAATCATTTTAGACATTTTTTGAATTTCAAGTCACTTTTGTAACATTTTTTTTAGTTGCTTCCAGGCTATCAGTACTTTATTTGCGGTACTGTCAGCCTAAGAGATGACAGAGATTTTGCAATGCTATATAGACAATTCAGGTTATGCCACCACGTGGTTTTTTGGCTATGAACCTAAGACCATAGTCTGAGGATCTTATGATTAAGAAATTATACCCTCTAAGTGGAGAAATGCTAACTAGCCATGTCCATGCTCCTAGTTCACCACAACACAGAGTAAAAGAGGCTAGCTCAAGCTCTCAGTGGGATGTTCAGGCAATCAAAGCTGAGGTCTAATACAATTTGTTGACTTCTACTGGAAGGGTTAACTGTGACTACCATATTACTTTCTTTCAAATCATCGTCTAGTTAATCAAGAGAACAGAAATTCTTACTATTCTATGACATGTTGAAGTTAGCTTTAGAAGCCAAAAGCATTGCATTGATTTTCTGAACAGTAATACCAACAAAATAATATCCTTTCCCTCCCCTTTTTATCAACTTTCTTTAATGAAATAACCCTGATGGGACTGTGAGCTTGATTTCGTTCCTTGAGAAACAAATGTTTCCTTCAGAATTTCATCACCACATGTTTAAAAAATACAGTACAGGCCTGTTGGGTTTCTGTAAAAGCATAAATGTTTTGAGAGCAGTGAAATAATTGGTAACATTCGTACTTAGTATTGGACTTAATACGCTGTGACTAATGTGTATTAAAGAATCACAGAAGATAGGGATGAAAAGGACCTCAAGAGGTCAGGTAGTCTATTTTCTTGCCCCAAGGCAAGATGGAACTACATCCAAACCATCTCTGACAGATATTTACCTAACTTGTCCTTAGAAATTTTCAGTGATGGAGATTCTGTAATACTCCCAACCTGTGTCTGCAATGCAACTTCTTATGCTAATTGTTAGAAAAATATCTCCTTATTTCCAGCCTGCATTTCTACCCCTACAGATTACTGTAGCCCATTACCACTTGTCCTGCCTTCAGCAGACAACAGAGTTACTATACTCTGTATGTCAGTTTTTAACATGCTTCAAGACTCTGCTTAGATTTGTCTAAGATCTTCTGTTCTTCTGTCACAGCCCATATATCCCAGTTCTAGATGTATACTGGTCTTCACAACCTTCTCTAACCGACCCAGTTTCTTGAAGGGTGCTATCAAAACCTGGACAGCCTTGCTGTGCTTACAGAATAGAAGTATTTTGCATGTCTTCCATATTAAATTCCAGTTTATCACCTCCATACTTTTTAATTCATGCTTTTCGGTAGCATTAATCACACAACTTTGCTAATATATTTTATGTTCAAGCTACTTCATAATCCCAGAACTTCTTCTGGAGACTCACTACACTATTGTATTTGTTCAATTAATTACTCCTACTGTTATGATATTTAGTATGTCTTCACTGAATTCCATACAGTTTATTCAAATCATTAACTTAAATTTTCTTGAATTCTAATTCTATTATCTAATCTGCATATGATTATTCCTTCCACTTTTTTCCAAATTTGACATTGTGACTGCAGTAAAGACATCCACTGCTCAGGATATGTATCAAGCCAAATTAGTCCTAGATTATTACCAGATCCAACACCGGGATAAAGCCTGGTACTTCACTCAGGTTCAGCTGTGACTCAATGACAGCTTATTTAGAAGATAAGGATTTAACAATCAACATGACAAAAAGAAAGCTGTCAAACCAGTCTATGTTCCTCCTTTGACATGATAACAGACTTCATCAATGGAGAGTTTTATTTTAGAGCCTTTTGACTCTATCCCAGTTGAACACCCATAAGCAAACAAAGAAAACACTTACCGGGTTGAACTACCCTAGAAGCTTAAAAATAGATTATATTATTTTTTCTGGTATTTTTCAGAGCACTTGTGTTATCCCACAGATGCCTTCACCTTCTCCTCCCCTTAAAGATGGACATTGCTTTGGTGTTTTTGACTTTGTGGAACTTCGACAATTCTTTATGCTTTACTGATGAACTTCATTAGGTCCCGACTTCAAAACATTTATGTATTTTCTGATTTGGTGTTTACTTTATTTAAATTGGGTAGTCCAATTTGCTTATATTAACTGTGGTAGGTGTACATCAATTTGGGGATCAGGGTAATGGGAGAAGCAGCTTTTCTCCACTTTCATCATTTTTTAAAAAATATTTATACAACACTGAAGAACAGAAATTTAAATTCTAATTCAGTTTATTTTTTTAAATGTGTGTCAAAATTGAATGACCGTAATTATGGGAAACTTAGATCTTCCATTTGTCTATGGAGACACTATTTTAGAGGCTGTAGTTCTGAAAAATTCTTCTTTCTACCCAGTCTTAACCCTGACCTAGTGCAATCTTTTCAATACAAGGAATCCAAAACCAGCGGTGTTTGTGGTCAGGGAAGACAATCATCAAAGTTAGAAGACAAATGATCTACTGTAAATGAAGAAAGAGACGTACACATCTCTTCACAGTACCCGCAGATTTCTGTCTGAGAGTTCACTATTCTAAATGTGTTCGTTATTGCTCCCTGTGTCTTACCACCTTGCATCGCGGTCTAAGAAAATGATGTTTGGAATGTGGTTGTGTGTTACTGTGGTACCTGCCTTTACTCCCAACAATTCCTTCATTTCCTCAGGAGAGGCTTCTTGGAGGAGACCCATGTTATGGGTGCAGGGAGAAGAAAAGGAGATAAGCCTTCCAAAATCTATCTTTATTTGATCAGGTTCCTCACCTCATCACTCTGTCCTCTACCAATTTGCCATGCAAATTAAGTAAATATTTTCTGTTAGATCAAGACTAAAACCAAGAATAGAATTCATATGGTAAGAATCACAGAATCACAGAATGGTAGGGGTTGGAAGGGACCTCTATGGGTCATCTAGTCCAACCCCCCTGCCGAAGCAGGGTCACCTACAGCAGGCTGCACAGCACCTGGTCCACACGGGTCTTGAATATCTCCAGAGAAGGAGACTCCACAACCTCCCTGGGCAGCCTGTTCCAGTGCTCCGTCACCCTCAGAGGGAAGAAGTTCTTCCTCATGTTCAGACGGAACTTCCTCTGCTTCAGTTTGTGCCCGTTGCCCCTTGTCCTGTC